AAAGGGAGGCCTTGAGCACTCCAACCTCGATCCCTGTGTCGATCCTGAACAGGATGTTGTCTGCAGAAGTGACCAAGGGTGCTATCGGCAATTAGGCTCTTTCTGAAGGCGTGTTCCCATAAAAAGGGGAGACAGAAAACACTCCCAGGTGGAGGAGCTAACAGGACAGGTAGAACAGCATGCAGTTCCCCTGGAATATTAAATCAGACACGGCATCGGCGAGGCACTGTTGTTCTCAGGCTGCCGTCCTCACCTTCTGTGTTGGACAAGGAAGACCCCGTGGGCCCATGCGTGGTCAGCGCCGTCGAAACACCAGCTTTGGAGGCAAAGAGAGAAAGGTGACTGCTTTCAACCTGACAGCCCAGATAAGGTCCCTGCAAGTCTGCTGTCAGGGCAGCCCACCCACTCCGTGATCACGGGAGAGAGAAAACCACTCAATGCCCACCCCCTTATGGGGTCCTGATTGTGCCGAAGTGTCCTGGTTGTATCCCTACAACACCCCACCGACTCCAAGGAGCCGAGAGCCGCGAGAAAGGGGTTATTCATTTCCCTGTTGGCACAACCACCTTACAGGGTCGGTTCAGCTACTCAGTGAGATCCACAGCCAAGCAGGTCACCCGGGTCCGAGTTCAGCCACGAGACCCGCTCCTCCCACCACGCTTACTGCTTTGCAGGAGCTCCTGGATGTTCTCGACGCTGGACGTGGTTCTCGTCTCCAGGCACTGCGCGAAGCTCGAAAGCGCCTTGCTGCGCACCGTCGGGGCTTTGTCCGAGCACCGGCCGAAGACCATCACCTGCACCAGGAACTTGTGCTTCAGGAACGCCTGCTGCTCCTCAAACAAGGAGCCATCGTGTTCCCTCTCCGGCAATTCCAGCAGGGCCAGGGCGACATCGAGGGCAAACACTCGGTAAGAAATCTGTTGGAAGAGAAGGCCAGAGGTCACAGGAATGAAGAGCCTGGCACAGGCCTGGGGTCACATGCGACGAGAAGCCGGCCAGACGTTCAGCTCATGCGACGCTCGGCACGTCGAGGCGGCTGCTGGCGCCCCAGCCGGCCGCAAGTTCGAGCCTCACCTTGCTATTGCACGAATATCTGTAGAGCCACGCGATGAAATCGGCATGCTGTGCGCAAGGGAGCTGATACAGCAGTTGTGACAGCACCAGCGCCGCGTGTGTGCGATATTCAGACTTATCGGGGACCTGGAAGAGAAAGAATACAGAGTGCTGTCAGGTCTAAATGAAGTTCAGCGGGCCATCGCTGTTGTGCTGAAGGACTGCAGGTCAGCAACGGAGCATGAGCTTGACAGGCAGAAGGACCCAGATTTGGCCCCTGACGTTTTGGGAAGCAGGTGCTGGGGAAGACTGTTCTCTATCTACGGTCCCGGGTAGATAGTACCCAGAGTAGATGGTACTGTGCACGACGGACTCGGGGACTGACTCAGTACAAAACACCTTTGACCAGAGTTCCCGCTAAGCTGAGTTAGTGTGAGTTAGCTCACAGTTTTTTAGCCTCCAGCTCACAGATTTTTGTCTTAGCTCAGCAGGTCAGCAACGGAGCATGAGCTTGACAGGCAGAAGGTCCCAGATTCAGCCCCTGACATTTTGGGAAGCAGGTGCTGGGGAAGACTGTTCTCTGTCTAAGGTCCCGGCTAATTGCCACCTGCCCAGAGTAGATGGCACTGTGCACGACGGACTCGGGGACCGACTCAATACAAAACACCTTTGACTCTGAAATAAGGGGTTGAGCACCCATGAAGCTGCCTGACACTGAATCAGACCCTGGGGTCATCAAGGTCAACACTGTCTACTCATACTGGCAGCTGTTCTCCAGGATCTCAGGCAGAGGTCTTCCACATCCCCTACTGCCTGATCCATTTAAGTGGAGATGCTGGGGACTGAACTTGGGACCTTCTGCGTGCTAAGCAGAGGCTCTTCCACTGAGCCACTGCTGCTGGTGGCCCCCGGGGTCAGGTTCAGCCCAGGATTCTATCCCGAGAGATGGAATTCGCCTGTTCCCCCTGCCACTCCCCGTGACTCCTGCTCTATGCACAGAGCATAATCACTCTGTGTTCACCGCTCTTATATTCTTAATTGTTAGTATGTAGGTTTAAACGCTTGTTTTAATTAGTTGGGTGCTCAATGAAATTAATGAGCAGTAAGCTTAGAACAGATAAAAAGGAAGTGTTTCTTCACCCAGAGTCATTAATATGTGGAATTCACTGCCGCAGGATTTAAGTAGTGGCAGCTACAAGCACAGACCGCTTCAAGAGGGGATATTGGATAAACAAACGGAGCAGAGGTCCATATTAGCCACAAGGTCTTAGATGGAAAACTATGTCTGGGGCAGGGATTCTTGGTGCTTGGGGGGCAACCGTGGGAGGGCTTCTGGAGATCTGGCCCCACTGCTGGATTTCCTGAGGGCACTTGGATTTTGGCCACTGTGTGACACAGAGTATTGGACTGGATGGGCCACTGGCCTGATCCAACATGGCTTCTCTTATGGTTTTGAATCTTTGCTGCCTTAGAGTCCCTAAGCTGGGTGGAAAGGCAGGTCCCGCGCACTTAATATAGGAGGTTCAAGCTAGTGTAAGGCACGACAGTCAACTCAAACACCTTGCTTGGATTGCCCGTTGTCTCTTCTGTCAGTTCTTCCTGCTACAATGTCACAGCCACTTGAAGAAAATTAACCTTCCTTTCGCAGAAGGGAGAGGCTTGTATGCTGCCATAGAGAAGGGCATGATCGAACCCACCTTGATGCAAATGTGCTGCAGTAAGATTCGCAGTACAGGAAAAGCAACTTCTGCAAGATCCTTGGTTAGAGAGCTGCATTAAAAAAAAACAAAATCCACAGGAGTTTCACAAATTTGTTGGGCAGAAAGAAAGATGTTTAGCCTGGGAAAGAGAAGGCTTAGAGGGGACATGATTGCAGTCTTCAAATATTTGAAGGGCTGTCATGTAGAAGATGGAACAGATCTATTCTCTCTTGCTCCGGACTGCAAGACTAGCTCTAATGGGTGGAAATTACAAGGGAGTCCATACTGGCTAAATATCAGGAGAAACTTCCTAACTGTAAGAGTGGTTGAGCAGTGGAACAGTCTGCCTCGGGAGGTGGTGGATGCTCCTTAGCTGGACGATTTCAAGTGAAGGCTGGATGACCATCTTTTGGGTATGTTGTAGGGCTATGTTTTGGCTATGCTCCTGCAGAGTGCAGGGGGTTGGACTAGATGACCTGCAAGGTCCCTTCCAACTCTAACATTCTATGATTCTAAGTCAAGGACGCAAACACAAAAGGAACTTTTGCAAGTTCTTTTATTTTATTTTTATTTGATTTATAGCCCGCCCTCCCCGCCTTACCGAGCACAAATTAAAACAAGTGTCTTCCCAACACAGAGATACTAATGGAAAAGGTGCTCTTAGGCTGCAGTGAATACAAAAACTGCAGGGGCAAGTAAGGCTGAGAGATATTGAACACAGCCAAGTAGAGTTTTGAACCCTCTAGATGAGGCTTGTAAAAAACCACTTGCTTGGTCACCTGTAGCAAATACGAGTTTCTTCCAGGTAACTTTTGTAAATTATAAAACTGATGTTTTTTTCTGTCTCTCTGGCCTTTGATGTGGCGCAGACTACTAGCATGGATATAAACAGGGCAAGTGACATTCTCCAGGCTGCTCGAACCATTAGGCCAGATTGACAGGTTATATGACCTCCAGTTTCCTATGAACGGGAATTTGGTAATTTGAACAGAAAGCAGACCCCCGACTCCTCAGGCGTACTTCTGGCTTTACTGTTCACCCGCACGGATCCTAAAATGTCTACTGATCTTATTGCACAAAGAATTCAGTTTACATTTCATGGAGTAGGGCACAAAACTGAACCACAAACACCATCTTTCCCCAGCTTCTTATTTTTCACATGGGATTCCCAGTGGTCTTTCATCCAAATCCACTTCACTCCAAAAAAATGCTACGGCACCCAGTATTTACAGACCACTTAAGCAGGCCTCAACCATTAGAAACATGCAACTGAAAATCAGAAGCACATTTTATTTTATTTTTAAGCTGCTGGGTCCTCACTGTTCCAGAGATGTAGACGTAAAAAGCTTCAGCACTGAAGTGGAACACAAAGTCCGTTCACCCATCCATTTTTAATTCACCTGCCCTCAGAGGAACTCAGGGTAGTGCGTATTGTCCCAACCCCACCCCTCAGTTTGGGGTAGTGAAGAGTGTGGACTCTAATCTGGGAGAACCGGGTTTGATTCCCGACTCCCCCACTCGCACCTGCTGGATGACCTTGGGCAAGCCATAGTTCTAGCACAGCTGTTCTTGAAAAAGAGCAATTTCTGTCAGAGCTCTCTCAGCCCCACCTACCTCACAGGATGTCTGTTGTGGGGAGGGGAAGGGAAAGGAGATTGTAAGCCGCTCTGAGACACCGAGTGAAGGGCGGGGTATAAATCCAGTCTCTTCTTCGTCTTCACAATAACCCTGCGAGGTAAGTTAGGCTGAGAGAGACTGACCAGCCCAAGGTCAGTTTGAATTCAGGTCTTCCTAGGGTCGCGAAGAGTCAGATTCGAGTGTGCGACTGAACAACAACAACGAAAAGCCCTCATCTGACACTCTTAACCACCACAACTGCATCAGGTCTCCATTACAGGGTCAATCTATTGGATTTGCAGAAGAAGCTCAGAGAAGCAGTAGATGCAGGGACAGAAAACCTCCACTGACAATGGCTTGGTGCTTCACCTGATGAACTTGACGGCCTGGTTGCTGGCACTAATCGCCTGAGGTGGAACAGCGGCAGGCGCCGCGCCGGATCCTCCTCTCCCTGACAGCATGACGACGATGGGCAGAAGCCGATGGAACACCCAGCGCAGAGTCTGGAAGAAAAAAACCCACAACACTGACAGATGGGACATCGAGGGGCTCCCCGTGCCGCCGGCTCTCAGTCCCCCATACGTCAGGTGACGTCAGACTATCTAACAAAACGGCCTTCTACTAAGTCAGAGCGTGGGTCTGTCTAGCTTCGGCGTCTCCTCTGATTGACGGCAGCTCTCCGGGGTCTCCGGCAGAGAAAGGTCGCCTCCAACACCTGCAGTCCAAAACCCTTTACGTGGAAATGCCAGGGGGACCATCTGGAATGCCAAGCAGGTGCCCTGCTGCCCAGCCATGAACCTTCCATAGAAAAGTGGGGATTCTTTCTGTGAATTTCATCCACAGAGGGGCAAGAGGGCAATCTCTGTCCTTTCAAATTGCCGCTCCCATTGGAGGCGGCAAGCAGGGGTGGCTTCCAGTTAATACCTCTTCCTCCTCCTTGGGGCGGGCGGGGGGGGGGGCTCTGCCTCCCCAAGCGCCGTGACCAAGCAACAACTCCCTCTCAGAATCCAAAATTAGCTCCCTGGAAAACGAAGCCAATCGCTACCTCCGGGAAGCTTCGTTTCCGTGCAAGCCTACCAGAGAAGAGAGAGGGAAAGAAATGAGCTTGGGAAGGGGCCGTGGCCCAGTGGCAGAGCATCTGCTTGGCATGCAGAAGGTCCTGGGTTCAATCCCCGGCATCTCCCGTTTAAAAGATAAGGTGATGTGAAAGACCTCTTTCTTTCCCAGGGTCCCGGGAGAGCCGGTGCCAGTCTGAGCAGACAAGACTGACTTTGACGGATCGAGGGTCTGACTCGGTATGAGGCTCAGCAGACAGGAGCTGAGAGCCAGTTTGCTGTCATGGTTAAGTGCGCGGACTCTAATCTGGGAGAACCGGGTCTGATTCCCCACTCCTCCACTTGCACCTGGCTGGATGGCCTTGGACAAGCATTAGTTCCGATAAGGGCTGTTCTTGAAAAAGAGCAGTTCCTGTCAGAGCTCTCTCAGCCCCACCTACCTCACAGGGTGTCTGTCTGTTGTGGGGAGGGGAAGGGAAAGGAGTTTGTAAGCTGCTCTGAGACACCTTTGGGTAGTGAAGGGCGGGGTATAAATCCAATCTCTTCTCTTCTTCTTCTTGATGGAGTTACTCTGGTTCAAGGGAACAAAGAGCCTCTCGGCTGAGGTGGGGCACCTGCTGCACCGTCCTCTGTCCCCTCATTCATAGGCTCTGCTGGCGGGGGGGGGGGGACTGTAAAGATGGCTGCACGCAGGACTCCCTTCTAGCCTGGCCCCGGGAACAGGGCTTAGCTGAGAAGGTTCCTCCTGGCTGGTGAGGGGCCCCCACTCTCTCTCTCTCTCGAGAAGAAATTGTAGTCTGTGTTGAAGGGGGATGGTGGAGGAGAGCAAGGAAACAACGAATTAAGCCTCATAAATTACCGGTTGGGCACCAGAGAGCTCAACCTGAAACCTGTTCCCAGCCACAAGGCAGGGCCAGTCTTCAAGGAGACCCCTGAAGGAGGCACTGTGACCGACAAGCTGGCCAGGCTGCCTTTCCCTCTTTCATCAGAATCATAGAGTTGGAAGAGACCTCCAGGGTCATCGTGTCCAACCCTCTGCACAATACAGGAAATTCACAAATATTTTCCCCACACACACCTCCAGTGTCCCCGGCTCCACGCCCAGAAGATGGCAAAAAGCCCCCAGGGTCCCCGGCCAAAACTGGCCTGGAGAAAAATTCCTTCCTGACCCCAAAGTGGCAATCAGCATTTCCCTGGGCGTATAAGAAAGGGCCACGAGAACTAAGCACTGAGGCAACCCTTCCTGCCCTCCCTTCTCATGATCTGCCTGAGTTCACAGAATCCGCATTGCTGTCAGGTGGCCATCTAGCCTCTGCTTAAAAACCTCCAAAGAAGGAGAGCCCACCACTACCTCCTGAGGAAGCCTGTTCCTCTGAGGAACTGCTCTGTCAGGAAGTTCTTCCTAATGCTTAGTCGGAACGCTTTTGATTTAATTGCAATCTGTTGGTTCTGGTCCAGCCTGCTGGGGCAACAGAAAACCACTCCGCACCATCCTCTACATGACAGCCCTTCAAGTACTCGAAGAGGGTTATCATATCAACTCTCAGTCGTCTCCTCTCCAGACTAAACACACCCAGCTCCTTCAACCTTTCCACATAGGACTTGGTCTCCAGACCCCTCACCATCTTCGTTGCCCTCCTCTGGACACGTTCCAGCTTGTCTATACCCTTCCTAAATTGTGGTGCACAAAACTAAACACGATACTCTAGGTGAGATGTCTTCCCAGTGGAAAGGATAGCCAGGTACTTTCATCTGTGCAGTGTACTGACAACTCCAGAGCAGATCAAAGAGAATCAATCACAGACAAACCTCTGGATTCATCCATTGCCATGAATGGGATCTCACCTGCCCAAGCCAACCTGTCTTTCCCCTGCAATGGCAAAGAGGTTAATCAGAGGGCGTGGGGCCTAAGGAGTTAAAGATGCTGGCAGAAAAGTTCTGCCAGTAGTGTGGTGTGGTGCAGAGGAAAAAGCCATACAGAGAAATCCTAAGCAATGTGTATAAGGATGTAGCATGGTCCATGCTCTGTTTTAGATACAATAATGCTTTAATGATGGCTTTAGTGATGGTTTAATGATAGATTAAACAGGTTGAGACGCCTTCCCCTGCCAGCCACATCAGTATTCGCTCTGGCATTGCCATGAACTTTAAAGGTCACAGCATACTGCTTCAGTGTTCCCTCTAAGCTGAGTTAGTGTGAGCTAGCTCACAGTTTTTTAGCCTCCAGCACACGGGTTTTTTGTCTGAGCTCAGGAAGGATGGCTCAGAGCAAACTAATTTATGCAGTAGCCAAACTGCTCGCTCACAACTTTAATGCCAGTAGGTCACAAAGTAGAATCTTTGCTCACAGGACTCCACAGCTTAGAGGGAACACTGCGTGCTGGTGGGCTGTGTTTGGCCAAAAAAGAGGCAGGATTTGTGCAGAGTTCCAGAAAGGGTTAAATGGCTGCAAAGGCCCCTGGAAACTGCTTATGAACCTCAAGAAACGCTTCCACCTAAAAGATCCCAGTCTGACGTCAATAAGCACCCAAATTGGGTGGTGACAAATTCCAGAGGGTAGCAATGTTTGTCTGCCGCAGCCAGAACATCAAAAAGTGACAGAACACCTTAAAGCCAGATGTTTTGTGGCAGATGTTTTTGTGAGTGCAGCTGGAAATAGATTTAAAGGCGGCAGTACTTCAGTAGAAGGGTTCCAAAAGGAAACTCCTGCGGGAAGCCGCTGAGTTGGAATCTGTATGCAGATTTAATGCTTAGCGGACTCCATAGGATCCGGGAATGGCTACTAGGGGCTTGCAGCTGGACATTGCCAGATCAGTAAAATGCCCAATATTGAAGGCGTGGGGTGGGCAATGTCCAACATGGCTGCCGTTTCCCTAACATGACCCTGTTTTGACAGTATCACTCTCAATAACATAATCGGGAGTCGTGTCGGGGGAGACAACGGAAGCTAGGAGCACTCCCCTGCTGAGAATCGGGACGATGCTGACGCTGTCAGGCAGACACTTCTCCTTAGTCTCCCCTCACCGCCCCCTTTTATTTCCACATGGGGAAGAGCATGCTAGCCTTTTTGTTAAATAGCCGGAGTATTGTTCCGATATTTCCAGAATGACTTTTCAATATGACAATTCTCCCAACAGTTAATGATAATCAGCAAGCCCTTCCAGCTTCCTGATATGGAATTAAGACAACTTTTTACACATGAAACTGCCTTACACTGAACTAGACCCCTGGTCCGCCAAAGTCAGTGTTGTCTACTCAGACCAGCAGCAGCTGTCCAGATCTTTCACGTCACCTCCTACCTGATCCTTTTAACTAGAGATGCCAGAGACTGAACCTGGGACTTTTGCATGCCAAGCAGGTCCACTACCACTGAGCCACCTGCACTCCCGATGGTTAGCTCATTGGAAAAAAATCAGCTGACCCTCCTCATGGGTCCGTGCTTACTCAATATTCATATTGCTAGTTCATCAACTACTGGGGGCAATCCACTCTGCTTGGCTCTGTGTAGAAATGCCCCCGCCCTGGAAGTGACCCCCCACACACTATTCAGCCATTGGGATTGCACTCTGTCTGTGGCTGGGACCCAGCTGCAAGCTCACATGGCTCAAAAACGAAAGCTGCTGCATGGGATGTGTAATCAAACAACAAGCATCAAACACTTCAGGGCTAACGGGTGTAAATGGCTATGGTCAGAGTAAGACAAAGGTTCACTACCTAACAACTTGCTAGATTATCCATTTAGATATGACAGAGACTGAGACAGAGAGAATAGCAAGATACAGTTTCTTCCTCTGGGGTCAGGAAGATGGACTGCCCGGAACAGAATATAAATTCTTAGGATGTGAGGAAGAAGCACTCGCTCTTGTTCTCTCTTCTCCTTGTGCATCTTTATCTAGGAACTCCATCCTGACCATCTGTCGAAGGACAATGGGAGAAATCCCTACTCTGAAAACTGAGGTAATGATGAACTTCTAAATGCTACAGCTTCAAGAATTACTAGCCTATCCTGATTAAACACTTTAAGATGAGTTTAGAGGATTTCACAATTTCACCTTTTCTTTATATCTTTGCTCAGCCTTATGACTATATATATCATGTGTACTCTATTAAACGTTCATATATTTTGAATGCTCTAAGTCTGATCTCTATAACCACACCTTGCCTATTCAGTTCTGCTTTCCAAAGGGTGGTAAAGGGGAGGGACAGTCGTTGAACACACCATCCCTTGAGTGTGGTAGGGTGGAAGTATGCAAGACTGCCCCACACTAGCTGGGAGTAAGGGAAAGGGTTGTCTTGCCAGGTGGAGACCTAGGATGGCAGTGGGGGCTTTTCTGAACCCCCAGGATGAAAGGGAACAGAGGGGCTTGTAAGTCTGTTCCTTCGCAGGACCATTTAGTCCAGGGCTGTCGAACTCATATGTTATGAGGGCCGGAACTGACAAAAATGAGACCTTGTTGGGCCGGGTCATGTGGGTCATAAAATGTAATGCCAGGTAGTGGAGATATAAACTTTATAAAGGACACAAACACAAAGGTGTTTTTTTTTTACTTAAAATAAAAACATGCTTAAAACATTAGCACTCTTGCAATATTTTGTTTATTTAACAGTGTCTGATAACTGACACCTCTTACTCTGAATTATTGCATCAAAATGTGTTGATGCAATCTTGAGTAAGCTGTTCAGGTGTGTATCTGTAAGCTGCAAAGCTACGATGACGCAGCAGCAGCATAACTGGAAGAAGCAGCAGAAGACAGCCACTTCCACTGCGGGCCTGATAGAAGCCCTCCGGGGGCCTGATCTGGCCCCCCAGGCTGCATGTTTGACAACCCTGATTTAGTCCGTTCACTGGATTGTGCTCAGCTATGCTCTGTAATGTAACGTAGCACATGTAGGTCATGAGAAGTGGGCCTTCTGGTCTCTCTTTGCAATACCTTCCCCTCTTCTGCCCTGCTGTTTGTCACTTTGGGCATGGGCATATCCCTATCTGCCTACCAAGGGACTGTAACACTTCATGCATCTGGAACCGCAGGCCTTGGCTCGCATCTCTCAAAATAAATTAATCTTTGAGGTGCCTTGTGACTTTCACGCTGAACTGTCCTTGCCCCACCTACCAGCTTGTGTATTAATTTCCACTTTGCGTCAGTGCCGCCCCCGATCCCAACTATTGTGCACGCAGGGGCGCTGGAAAATCTCTCATCAGGATCAAACTGAGGTTCCGATTTCAGTAGAAGGAGGACAGCATACTTTATTTTAGCGTGATAGATTTTAGCTGCCATTCCCTGCCTCCTACTCCTATCAACTGACAGGGGGTGAGGGAAGGGGGGGGGGGAGAGTGAGCACTCCCCCCCGCCCCCCCCTCCAATCAGTTCAGCGGGGGATGTTCTAGAACTGCAGTTAAAGAATGAAACAAGAAGAGCCGCCTCTCGGATAACTGCAGGAATCTGGGAAACACTGTCTGACATTTGTCTTCGCCCCGGTGAAAACGGTGCGAAAATTCTTCTCTAACCCACTCGCCTCCCCCTCCCTGCGAAATGTCACAGGGCAGTCGTGTGCGACAGTATTCCAGCTCCCTCTAGCAGGCGACACAAGTAAATGCACGTCCGGTTGGAGATTCATCATGGGAGAGATTTGCGGTTGGGAACAGAAAGAGGTATATTTTGTTTTTAGAACAGGAAGAGTTTTCCCCCCCCCCCGGAGAATAGGAAGAGTCTCCCCCCGGTGCTCAAGGAACACATCTAAAGGTGAAAGAACATCAGACAGCACAAGTGGGGGATTGTGGGAGAGCAGTCCTAGATACCCTCCCCCCCTCCACTGCCAACCCCACCTACCCACTCCTTCAATCCGTGCCTGCTCAGGACTCAGGGGAGACAGGCAGGAAGAGAATGTACAAAAAGGGTGGCAGTTCGGGGGGCAGGCGGGGGGGACCACCAGGCAAAAAGAGAGAGCAAGGGGAAAACTGAAATTGCTGAGCAGTCGGGTTAGAACAGATAAAAGGAAGTCCTTCACCCAAAGAGTGATTAACACATGGAATTCACTGCCACAGGAGGTGGCGGTGGCGGCTACAAGCATGGACGGCTTCAAGAGGGAACTGGATAAACATCTGGAGCAGAGGTCCATCAGTGGCTATGAGCCACAAGGTAGAGATAGGAACTCTCAGGCTGGGGCAAGTGACGCACTGTGTTCTTGGTGCTTGGGGGGGGCAACAGTGGGAGGGCTTCCAGTGCCCTGGCCCCACTGCTGGACCTCCTGATGGCACCTGGTATTTTTGACCACTGTGTGACAGAGTTTTGGACTAGATGGGCCACTGGCCTGATCCAGCATTGGCTTCTCTTATGTCCTTATGTAAAGACTAGCAGGATATTCTTCTCATAACTACATTATCAAGATGGGTAGCCGCGTTAGTCTGCCTAGAAATGAGCAGCGGCTCACAAAAGCGCCGACCCTGACACAGGTTTTGTTCGTCTTTAAGGTGCTCCTGGACTCTTGCTCTTTTCTATACCCACATTAGTGTTTTTTAACGGCATTTGAGGAGAGCAATTGGACAATATTCCAGTTTGCAAACCCTTGACCTGCCCAAGGCAAACGCGAGCCGCGTTAACGGGCTCTTTTCAAGCCGTCTTTCAGGGTACTGCCCGGGATCAGTGCCCTCACACTTACTGGCCCAGGTGAGGAGGACACTGGGGAGCTGCTGAAGAGTTGGTGGAGAGGAACCACCGAAGCCAGGTCCCCCTTGGCAGTGCCCAGCGGAGTGCAGGAGGCAGCCACCCAGCGACGGAGACCATTGGAGGACGCGGCATTGGAACGACTTGCAAGGAGGGCCACGGTGCAACTGGCCACTGCAGCAGATACAGCCCTTGCCGGCGGAGGCCGGTATGACTTGGGAGCTGCGGAGGGGAGACCAGCCGAGGCTGAAGGGGGAGGCGGATGCAGTGGCTCAGACTCCACCCAGGGACGGGAGCTGACGGGGTTCCTGTGAATGCGGCCAGGCAGCGTGATCGTCCCCAGGCTCACGGGGGCAAAGAGGGAGGCCCTTTGCGAGGCCACGGGGGCAAAGGCAGGAGGGCCAGGGCCTATTTGGAGGGAAGCCGGCCACTCCCACAAGCATCCCCCCAAGCGAGAGGGAGTGGGGGAGACCACGGTTGTCCTACCCCCCAGGTGACCCTTTAAAAGGTAAGCCCTGGAAGGAATGGCCAGGCCTCACCTAAAGCTGCCAGGTAGAGCTCACTGGCAGGAGCGGGTGCTGTAAAAACACCCCTCCTCATTCTCTATCCCTAGGGCAAGCCTCACTAAAGGAACCTTGAAGGAGGAGACCCACACCCCTCCTCCAGCCAACACCGGAGTCCAACAGGTAACTCAGATCTGCAGGGCTAGGGGTAGGGATACCATTCCCCGGGTGGGGGCAGGGGAATTCCCCGCTTTGGCGGGCTCCGGCCTGGCACTGGCCAGCAGGAGGAAATCCCCCCACCCCCAGAAGTGACATCAGTGTGTCAGTGCAATAGGGAGGGGGGATGCTCTGCCTTCTGGGAAAACTCTGTGGTTTGAGGCCATTTTTACCTGAGAGTTTTGCCCGAAAAGCAGAGCGCTGCCCCCGAGCTGATGTCACTTCCAGGTGATGTCAGCGTGCCGTGCGATGTCCCCACCCCCAACCCCCCCGCCAGTGCAATGAGGGGACCTGGCAACCCTATGCTAGGGGCCTGCCACATTTTGAGCCATGGATGGGCCAGCCCTGCTGGTAGGCAGGTGAAGAACTTTCATAGCTGCCCTGAGCCTGCCTCGGCGGGGAAGGCAGGGTAAAAATCAAATAAATAAACAGATCACAAACACCTTTGCGAATTCATCCTATTTACCTTGTCTTGCAGGCCGTGAAGAGCGGAGCACAGGAGTCGCAAACCGAGATGCGCAAGCTCCGGGACATACTTGGCTTGATCAGGAGTCCTGCACCGAAAACAAAGTTGAGGCTTTCTGCTGGGTCTCTTCCGAGGTGCCAATGCAGCCCCACGCAGACAATTCATGGCTGAGACTCCCCAAAGGTATTTCATAAATGGCAAATGCCTGAAGTCCAGACAGCCAAATTGATCCCACTGGATTAGCTGCAAGACTTACTTGGAAACGACAACAATGCTGGGAAAAGCCGAAGGCAGCAGGAAAAGAGGAAGACCCAACATGAGGTGGATGGGCTCAATCAAGGACGCTACAGCCTTCAGTTTGCAAGTCCTGAGCAAGGCTGTTTGTGATGTGCGTGTGAGTGTGTGCCTTTAAGCAAGTCCTCCCAAACTGATTTCAGTTCCCCACTCAAGGCCTGGGTGAAAGAAGCCTCACTTAATTCTAGTTCAGTGCTGTGTAGATTGTAATTGTGTCTTCTCTGCTGCAAGCAACAGAATTTGATAGCGCCAGTGGGCTGTACTAGTAAAGGGTACTGGACTATCGTGACGGGTAAGCTTCTTCCTACAGACCAGACCCCTGACTGCACCGTTAAGGACAGGATGTTTTGGACGTCATGAATTCACAGGGTTTGCCATGAATCAGAATTGACTTGATGACACATAACACACACAGCTATAGAATCCCCCCCCTCCGCCTGCAACACCCGTATAGCTTTATGCACTCTACAAATGGCATTCCAATTAAGGCGCGATAACTCACATGCTCTCTGAAGGCTCAAGGCTGAGTGGGCAAGGTTCAAAACTCAAGAAGTCAAGAAAGATCTATGAGAAACACAAATGGGATTTAAAAAGAGAGCTCAAGCATGTGGAGGAAAGCTAATCTCATCTAGGCCTCCTTGTAAGCCTGTCATCTGCAGGAGACCCGACTGGTCTTGGAATCTGCCCCCTTCCGCCGCCATACTCCAATCTGGCAACTTTTGCACTACCCAAAAGGAAGCTGGCATTCCCAGGAAGAATCATGCAGCAGCCACAATGACCCCCACTCTGAACAAATTAGGAAACAAAGCTTTGCCACCGTGCCTTTGGAGATTCTACTAGGGGTGTGCACTTGGTACATGCCGAACCGAATAAATAACCGAAAAATACCTTATTAGTATTTTCGGGTATTTATTCGGCTGAATACAGATAAGAGATCTGTATTCGGCTACCAAAATAGCTGCACGCGATTAAAAGCCAATATTATTTAGTTTTTATTTGGGCACAGCTAGAAGGCATTTAAAGTTTAAAGGCTTGTTGAGTTCACTCACTGAGTCATGCCACCGAAACTGGATTTTTTTTTGCACTAGATTCTACACATCTCACATTTTAGAAGCATCTGCAGCTAAATCCAAAAGGCAATGAGGAAATTATGGCAAGGGAGGGTCTCAAAAGGCCAGAACATTTCTCAATAGACTCCATGTAGCAATCTTAATTGCAAATATTTGACAGATCCAGAACCCCCCTTCTGGATCAGACTGACAGTATGTCGCCCACTGTTCTGGTCCCGTTGCAACTTGACCTGTGGCATCAGGACACAGAGCTAGCCACTGGAGTGGCCTTCTATTAGAAAGCCCACAGGTTAGGAACACAAGACAGTCCTTGGCTGAACCAGACTCAAGGGTTTGGTAGCCAGCCAGATGTTATCTGGGAAACTCATCAGCTGGCCATGGAAACAGACCTCCTTTGCCATTATCTAGTACCCAAAATACACGGGAGAAGACCTGTAAGGACCCACGGTGGACATCTCTTTCCCCTTTGTTGCCAGCATGGAATTACTACTTTGCAGGATCTCCTGCTCCCCCAACTCTTCACTGGTTTACTCCCCCCCCCAAGTTCTCCTCCTCCCCACAGCAACTGGATCAGCTCCCTTCTTCACCTCTCCTTCTGCTCCTTGCCACCAACTGTGCGTGTGCCATTTTGGGTTGCTATGACAATCCATGAAGCTGCTGAACTCTAGATTGCTCTTTTGTGCAGACTGCAAATGCACAGACATCTCAGTCAACTTGGGAAGGGAAGGAGCTACCTCCAAATCAGGTTTAGCCCCATTGTGCAGATTTGCCTATCTGCACAGGAGCCGGCCATTGGTGATTAGATGTAGGGATACTGCATCTGAGCATGGAAGATCTGCTTAGTTATCATGACAAAATGCTGTTGATAGACTCATGTGCCAGGAGCCTGCCCAATTCCTTTTTAAAAGCCAATTAAGCTAATGTCCATAGGGTGGACAGCCTCCTGGTGGGATCTGGAGATCCGGAGAATTAGAACTGATCCCCAGGTGACAGAGATCAGTTCCCCTGGAGAAAATGGCTGCTTTGAAGCATGGACTCCAATGGCATGATACCCCATTTAAGTCCATCTCCTCCCCAAACCCTGCTATCCTCAGGCTCCACTCCCAAATCTCCAGGTATTTCCCAAATCCAGAGCAGCCTACACTAAGTGTTCACTACAATCACTGGTAACAGACATGCTATCAAATTCATTTGGTGTGTGTACACACACACACGAGGGTTGCCAGATAGTGCCTGCATTGCAGGATAATCTTTTTTTAATGTACTTACCATAAATTCTTACCTGAAGTGACAAAGTTTAGCTCTAGGAATTGGCAGAAACTCTATCATAAAATCAGAGTTTCCAGCGATTCCTAGAGCTACCCTTTCCCACTTCCAGTAGGTGCACAAGGTCACATTAAAAGAAAAAAGCCTGCTGCCACTCCAAGTAGTAGCGGGCTCAGCAGCCGGAACAAACACACACACACTCACCTCACTGCCACATCTACGTAACAACCCGTTGCTCCCGACTGCATGACCTACCTGGATGCATGCCTGGACACACTGTGGCTTCTCTTTCAGGGAGAACTTGGAAAGAAGCCTCAGTAAGTTTTTCAGGAGAAGGAAGAGGGCCTCCCGGATTTGCAAGAGATCAGAGGCAGAGAAAAAGAGCTCCTCTTCTTCATCCTCTTCCTCTTCAAAGATATCATCCATCTGCAAATGGCAGGAAACTAGTTTTTAAAAAGTACTAACAAGGTACCAGCAAACTGATAGGGGCAGTTCCAGCCCCCAAGCAAATTAAGATCACAGATCAGCCACCGTGCAAAACAGGGCCTTCTCAGTGTCTGCTAAGCTGCCATGAGTGTGGAGAGGCTTTCTAACTGCTTTGCATTCCTTCCCATGAGCTTAATTGCTTCACAGCTGCAACGCTTATCTATAAAGAGTTACTGGAGGAGTTGTGGTGTCTACCTTCCGTGGGATTGTCTTTGTTCCCAGCTTCGCTACCGTTAGAGACTCTTGCCATCTCCCGCACGCGGGAGTCCACCTAATTGGGTATTGCTGGGGGGGGCGGGCGCATACAAATGCCCTATATCCTATTACGCGCATAGGTAGTCCACCATTCCTAACAGTGTTCATGTTACTGCATCTATGGCTTTTCAATAAAAGTAAAACGTTCCTGGAAGAGTGTACTTCACAGCTGCCCCAGAGCCAGTTTGGTGTAGTGGTTAAGAGCAGCGGACTCTTAATCTGGAGAACTGGGTTCGATTCCCCACTCCCTCACATGCAGCCAGCTGGATGACCTTGGATCAGTCACAGACTCACAGTTCTCTCAGAACTCTCTCAGCCCCATCTACCCCTCTATTGTGGGAAGAGGAAGGGAAGGCGATTGTAAGCAGCTCTGACACTTCGAGTGAAGGGCGGGGTACAAATCCAACTCTTCTTCTTCAGGAACGCCCCACCATTATGAAATGCACTCACCCCATTGCAAAGTGGGTGTAAGAAATCCCCTTTTATTTGCAAGAGCAGCCTTTTAAGTTTGTAGCATTTCCCCCCCCCTGCACAGATGGCCCAGACACTTCTTATAGTAATAATAATAGTAATATACTTTATTGTCATTGTACATAGTACAACGAAATTAAGATGCAATCATTTCGGTGATCTACAACAATATTCATATACACTCACACAACCATTCACAACTATCTCATAACTCCCTTAAGGTTCACATAGCAACTTAAAACCACTAATGTCATTCAAATTCCAATTTCATACAGCATTTAAGGCAGCAATAGCTCTCAAATAAAAACTATTTTTTAATCTGTTTGTCCTTGTTTTAATTGTCCTATATCTTCTGCCCGAAGGCAGCAGTTCAAACAGGGAATGTCCAGGGTGTGACAAATCCTACAGAATGTTCTTTGCTTTTTTCAAACATCGAGAACTATACAATTCCTCTAGGAATGGGAGGGGGCAGCCAATGATCTTCTGGGCTGTGATGATAACTCTCTGGAGTGCTTTCCTATCCACAGCCGTACAACTGGCAAACCAGTTTTGGGTTTACATTTTGCATTAAGCTGTGGTGCATTGCTTCTATGGTTTACTGATTATTTCACTGTTGTACTTAATGTATGTCTCTGTGAAGCCTTTCACAAAAGCAACTTTAAAAATATTGCAAATCATTGAAAAAGGTCTTACGTGGTACGTGGGTACTCGGCCGGCCGCATATGGGTATCAAAGTATCAGTATATACTGTGCAGTGCTTCCGACACAACACACCTGATGGTTTCCTTACCTGGGTATTTGCCTTCTTCGCCACCTTCCCCCTCTTATTTTTTCCATGCCGATTATTTGATATTTGGCTCTTTTTCCTCTTCCTGGGCAAGTCCAGGCCCTGAGGCCAGCACTTCTGGAAGGTCTGAAGGCACTTTTCAAACATCACCGGATGGAACAGCCGATTGGCGATGCTGCCTGCCGGGGAGGAAAGACAGATCAGGGCTTCGCTTTGCCAAGTTCCCCAAAGACCAGGCCTTGCAGTATTGGACAGAAACACAGAGTTAGGCACTGGAGCACGGAGGGCCACTGGAAACTGTGTACAGTGGAGCTGGGCAACAGAAGAGGGCAGTAAGGGACAGAGACTGAACAAACTAAGGCAGCTACCTGCTAAAAGAGGAGGGAAGGCTTAACAAGTAATGCCCTGGCCACATAGGACTGTTCACTGAGGACTGGGTCAGCTAGTCACCAGCAAAGTGTGAGAGCTACCACCCTCAGGGCCCAGCAGAGTTTAAAAGTAGTATTATTTAGGTAAAGGTTCCCCTTGCTTGAAAGCCAGTCGAATCCGACTCAAGGGGGCGGTGCTCATCTCTGTTTCCAAGCCAAAGAGCCAGCGCTGTCCGAAGACTTCTCCGTGGTCAAGTGGCCGGCATGACTGAACGCCAAGGCACATGGAATGCTGTTACCTTCCCACCGAAGTGTTACCTATTTATCTACTTACAATTTCTTGCTTTCGAACTGCTAGGTTGGCAGGAGCTGGGGCCAGAGATGGGAGCTCACTCCGTCACGCGGCACTAGTGTCTCAAACTGCCAAGTTACAGATCTTCCGGTCTGCAGCTCAGTGTCTTACCCAGGTTTTATTCAGTTTTTCCTTTCTTCCACTAGATTTGGACAGCACCTTCCCCTCACAATTTTATTTTCACAACAACCCTGTGAGGTAGGTTAGTTGAGAGATAATGACAGACCCAAGGTCACCCAGAGAATGCCCTGGATTGGTTCAACTCCACCAATACAGGGTAGTAGGGCCAATACGGTTTCATAGAGCCTCTATAGACAATTAAGAGAGGGAAAAGCCTAAGTTATTTTGAAGCCTTGCAGTGGAAAATTTAATTATTTATTAGGCTTATACCCCCCCTTCCACGTGGGCTCAGGGCGGCTAACAAGAGGCAATTGCCATACGTAACACTAAAACCAGATAAAACTATCAATTACATTTTACATTTAAAATCGGTGCTCGTAACAATATATCATCCAAGACGGGGACTCCAATGCAATGCTTCAGAAGGCACTACTGTCTCTTCTTGATCGGTCCGCAGGCTCCCTCTAAGCTGTGGAGTCCTGTGAGCAAATATTCTACTTTGTGAGCTACTGGCATTAAAGTTGTGAGCGAGCAATTTGGCTGCTGCATAAATTAGTTTGCTCTGGAGCCATCCCTCCTGAGCCAAGACAAAAATGTGTGAGCCGCAGGCTAAAAAACTGTGAGCTAGCTCACACTAACTCAGCTTAGAGGGAACACTGGTCTGCACTCTGTCCATTCTCCATTCCTAAGGCCAGTTCGCATTCCCAAAGATGGCAGCGCGGTCGTGGTACACTGACGGTGGCGGCTCCTACTCAAAAGCCTGGCGGAAGAGCTCCGTCTTGCAGGCCCTGCAGAACTGCATAAGGTCCCGCAGGGCCCTGATCTCCTCCGGGAGTGCGTTTCACCAGATAGGAGCCGCCACCGAAAAAGCCCTGGCCCTAGTTGCAGCATATTTGACATCTCTAGGGGCTGGGACAGCCAGAAGATGTTTTGCCCCCGACTGTAGTGCCCTTGGGGAAACATATGGGAAAAGGCGGTCCCTTAGGTAAGCTGGACCCTGGCCATATAGGGCTTTATAGGTAAGAACCAGCACTTTGAAGCAGACCCGGTACGCTATTGGCAGCCAGCTGCAGCTTCCGGATCTGCGACAAAGGCAGCCCCATGTAGCGAGCGTTGCAGTAGTCCAACCTCGAGGTGACCGTCGCGTGGATCACTGTGGCCAAGTCATCGCGGTCAAGGTAGGGAGCCAGCCGCAGATGGTAAAAGGCTGACTTGACAGTGGCTGCTACCTGGGCCTCCATCGTTAAAGAGGAGTCCAGGAGCACCCCCAAACTCCTAACCCTCGGCGCCGGCACCAAAGGCACCCCGTCGAAGGCCGGGAGAGGGAGCCCCAGCCCTGAACTGACCCAACTTAAGTCCAGGACCTCTGTCTTCGCCGGGTTTTAAGCCTGGCCCTTTCCCTCTTACCAGTTTACTCAAAAATATTAAATACAACTTCACAAAATATTCATCCCAAAGTGTAATGAGAAATACCTTGCCTTCTGCTCTCTTGCATAATATGGATCTATATCTACATATCATATCCTTTATGTTTTTCTACTCCAAACCTAAATTAACACCTTTCTTTAGGTTGGCTTTCATACAACATTGGAGCAAATACAATTTTTCATGTTTGTAATGTGGTATTAAGTATGTTCTATGACTTTCATAATTATTTCTTACGTGATTGAATGTATGTATTCTTATGTATTTGATATCATATACGACATCACACCTGTCCTGCATTTACACCTATTTTTTGTTTTCACGTTCAGGTTCACGTATCATCACTGTTGTACTATTTCATGCTGCTAAATCTTTATTACATTACTAAAATCCTTTAAAAGCATTAAATAGACAAGCATACGATTACGTGGAAAAAATTACATCCTGTTTTTCCTGAGATCACAAGACAACTTTTCAATATTTTCATAAGTGGCTATACTTGGTTCTGACCACCTAATGTTTTATGATAACTTGAAAACAATCACAGCAGATAAGTTCACATTTGTTAAAAAAAAAGGTAAAGGTTCCCTTGCTCGAAAGCCAGTCGAATCCGACTCTAGGGTTGCGGGGCTCATCTCCGTTTCCAAGCCGAAGAGCCAGCGCTGTCCGAAGACGTTTCCGTGGTCATGTGGCCGGCATGACTAAACACCAAGGCGCACGGAACGCTGTTACCTTCCCACCAAAGTGGTACCTATTTATCTACTTGCAATTTCGTGCTTTCGAACTGATAGGTTGGAAGGAGCTGGAACTAGAGACGGGAGCTCACTCCGTCAGGTCTCGAACTGCTGAACTACCGACCTTCCATAGCCTGCAGTTCAGCGTCTTAACCACTCGAGACACTGCCAGCCCACAAAAGGGTTTTACTGGCCCACGGGCTTATATTGGTCCTTTGTGTCTCAGAGAAAGAGGCAACGTTTGTCATTTTCTTCAGGGTGGTTGCCTGGAATTCATTCCTAACTCACCCTAGGTAATCAAGGAAGGAGCCATTAGAAGAAAGCCCCACTGATGCTTGCGTTTCCAGTGATGAGCACTTAAGAGAATAATGCAGAGCGCAGGTGAAATCGCTACCCCGAGAAGCCACCATCCCAAAGCATAAGCCAGGCCAGACACTTACCTGGAATTTCAACCAGTAGGAAGTACAGTCCAGCAGCATGAAGCGCATAGAGCCGCTGTGGAACATCAGCCTTTTTATTTTGAGCCTCCTGGACAAAGTGATACAACACAGCAACGAGGGCATTGTGGGAAATATTGTTCCCTGCAAAGAGGGCCCAGATGCTCTGAAATAAAGCGGAGAAATCAGATGGGAGGAAAACGAACACCTGTTCATCATACGTAGGGTCCTGCTCTTACGGAATCAGTTTCTACTTTCCTAATTCCGCTTCCTGCAGTGTCTGACAGATCGCATCTGATACTTTTTTGCCTGGTTTCTAATTTCTGTAACCCCACTCCTATCGTGCCCAGACCTGGATGGCCCAGGCTAGCTCGAACCTGGCAAATCTCAGAGCTAAGCCGGGTTGGCCGTGGTTGGTACTTGGATGGGACACCACCAAGGAAAGTCCAGGGTTGCTATGTAGAAGCAAGCAATGGCAAACCTTTTCTGTTCATCTCTTGCCTTGAAAGCTTCACGGGGCCGTCATAAATCGGCTGCTACTAGACAGCACTTTACACACAGTCCTGTTGCATGGCTTTACTGGACACCTCATGCTATTTTGATTGCACTGTTTTAGTTTAGAAGGAAGTACTTCTTCACCCAAAGAGTGGTTAACACTTGGAATTCACTGCCACAGGAAGTGGTGGCGGCTACAAGCATGGACGGCTTCAAAAGGGAATTAGATAAGCATATGGAGCAGAGGTCCATCGGTGGCTATTAGCCACAAGGTATAGATAGGGGCTCTGAGGCAAGTGATGCTCTGTCATCTTGGTGCTTGGGGGGGGGGGCAACAGTGGGAGGGCTTCTAGTGTCCTGGCCCCACTGCTGGACCTCCTGATGGCACCTGGTATTTTTGGCCACTGTGTGACACAGAGTGTTGGACTAGATGGGCCTTTGGCCTGATCCAACATTGGCATCTCTTATGTTCTTATACCAATCCAGTGCTACTGGATTCAGATCTAATTGTTTTACACCGTGTAAGCGGCCTTGAGTGTCAGTGAGAAAGCCGGGCTATAAAGTAAATAAAGAAATAAGACCACGGCACAGTGGTAAAGCATCTGCTTTGCATGCAGAAGGTCCCAGGTTCAAGCCCCGGCATCTCCAATTAAAAGGATCAGATAGTGGGTATTGGGAAAGGCCTCCACCAGAGACACCTGGAAAGACGTTGCCAGTCACACTAGACAAGACGGGCCTTGGTCTATCAGTCCAAGACAGCTTCATGTGGTCATGACCAATGTTTCCTCTAAGCTGCATCAGTGTGAGCTAGCTCACAGTTTTTTAGCCTCCGGTTCACACATTTTTGTCTTCGCTCAGGAAGGATGGCTCCAGCACAAACTAACTTATGCGGTAGCCAAATCGCTTGCTCACAACTTTAATGCTGGTAGCTCACAAAGTAGAATTTTTGCTCACAAGACTCCACAGCTTAGAGGGAGCATTGGCCATGACATCAAATAATCATGCAGGAGTGGACTGAATACTCCAACAACAACAACAAAAATCAATTTTCCCCATAGCGCGATTGGTTTAAAGCAGAGGGAGTCAAAACATCAAGGAACATTACTCTCAACGACTTGCCTGCCAAGGAACCCCTGCATGCTGCAAAGGATTCTGGGACATCTCCTGGGGAGCACTCTCTGCTCATTGGCCATGCCTCTTTGGCACTCCAGGAGAACAGATCATGGCCTGGAATGCACCAAACACTCCCCTGTAGCTGTGCAATGCAAGGAAAGTCAGCAATAGGGGAAGAAAGCTGTCTTGCGGGGAACATGTTCTGCCAGGACACTGCGGAGTCCCCAGACGGCTTCCAAGGAAGCCCAGGGTTTGCTTGAGACAGCTTGAAAGCTACAGGTTTAAAGTAATAATGGGTTAAACCATCTAGAACTAGATTCACGTTCAAGAGCACCTTAGAGACCAGCAAGGTTTTCGGGCTATAACGAAGGGAGCTTTGACTCTCGAAAGCTTATATCTCGGAAATTATTTTGGTCTCTAAGTTGCGGCTACATTCTGCCATTTCCTTCCATGAGCTTTCACTGGAACCAACCTATTGACTTCGATGGTCTTAGCTGTAATTTTGCATCGAATGGCACTTTTAAGTCTAGGTTGGCCACAATG